TTTTTGTTTTTTGTCCTGACTAATTCAAACTAAATTCTCTATTTTCCCCTAACAAGTAGCTGGAATTACTGGTGTAAGTCATAAGGCCCAGACTCCGCACCGAGGAGATGTGGTTGCAGACGGACGTGAGCGCGTGCGCGGAGCCGGTGGTGGTGGGCAGCGCCAGCACGCAGACGGTGGTGTCCTCGCTGCAGGTGACCACGATGTCGATGGGGCCGGGCCCCTCGCGCGCCGGCTCCAGGTCGTCCGGCGGCTCCAGGCCGGGCACCTCGAACTCGGGCCCCAGGGTGACGGTGCCCACCCGCCGGACGCACGTGATCTCCCGGCCGTGCAGGCCCTCGCGCAGGATCACGTGGGGCCGCGTGCAGCCACCCAGCGCCCGGTACAGCATCACGTCCCCGTCCTTGAGGAAGGCGAAGGCCATGGCCGCCTCCGTGTCGGAGAAGGCCCAGGAGCGGTGGCCGCCGCCGCAGTTGACGATGTGCAGCTTCTCGTGCGACCGCGGGCTCCACACCACGAACTCGTTGGCGTGGAAGCCCAGGACGACCGTGCTGCCGTCCGACACCATGCGCAGCCCCGCCACCCAGTTCATGCCCCGGCACGCCTTCTGCCGCAGCACCGGCTGCAGCTTGCCGCCCTGCACGAACAGCTGGTAGTAGGCGCCGTCGCGGCCCGTGGTGTACACGTAGCCGCCGTGGCAGGTGACCGAGGTCACCCCCTGCTTCCCGTGCAGCGAGTGCAGCGTGGACACGGGGCCGTACCCGGCCGCCGCGTGCTGGCCGCCCGCGCCCGGCGCCCCGGGCCCGGCCCCGCCGCCCGCCGGCGGGTCCTGGGGCAGCCCGGGCCGCACGGGGAACAGCAGCACGGAGCCCCGGCGGTCCCCGCACACCAGGAAGTCCCCGGGCGGCAGGAAGGCGCTGCACGTGTGCCAGCGCTGCTTGCTCGGGGGCAGCTGGTACCGGCAGCGCTCCTTGACGTAGATGGTCTTGCCCGACGGCGCGGCCGAGATCTCCAGGCAGGCCACCGCCCCGCCGGGGCCCGAGGCCAGCAGCAGCAGCTCCTCGTAGCCTCGGAGGGCCCAGCTCAGGCTGTGGACCTTCCCGCGGAACAGGGTCCGGTCCACGGCGGCGGTCGGGGTGTTGATGGGGACCACCTTGACGCGGCCCTCCCCATTGGCCATGGCGCACAGGCCGAAGCCCTCGGGCCCGGGCGCCGCCTCCAGGAGGCAGTAAGACTGGAAGTTGGGATCCTCCAGCAGCTGCTCCCAGCACTTGACCTCCAGGTCGTAGAGATACAGGGCTCCTTGGTCAGTCACGGCCAGCAGTCGCCAGGAGCCGGCCAGGGTGACGGCTTTGAGGACGCCCGACCTGCTGGGAGACTTGAAGGAGAGCGCCGAGACGCCCAGGCCTGGGTACCCGCGCCCCACCAGGTGCCAGAGGCGGATGCCGGAGTCGTCGCCCCCGGTGATCACCCACGCCTGCCTCTCGTGCGCGGCGATGGCTCGGATGCCGCGGCCCTGGTGGCCCCGAAAGGCCTGGAGGATCTCCCCCTCGTGGCTCCACACCAGGCACACACAGTCCTCCCCGGCGCTGATGAGGTAATTCTCCAAGAGCCGGACTTGCCACACGCGCGCGCTGTGGCCGAAGCAGTGGCCGATGTTCTGCACCCGCCCCCCGGGCACGCGCAGGTCACCCACCTTCCAGATCCGGACGCTGCGGTCTTCCGAGGCCGTGGCCAGCAGGCCCTTGCTTTGCAAGTAGGACATGCTGAAGATCACCCCGACGTGGCCGCTCACCCGCCGGTCGGGCGCCACTGGCTTGTCATCCGTGAGGGCGGTGGCTGGGTACCACACCAGGAGCTGGTTGGAGACGGCCCCGGCGACAATGGTCAGCTCCATCCAGGTGTCCCCGATCAGGCAGGCTGACGACAGCGTGCACCGGTCGGTGCAGGCCACATCCTGGAGCATGCATCCTATCACCGGGTCGTAGAGCACCACGGAGTTGTGGCCCAGCGCCAAGGCCACGTTGCCTTCGAGCCAGCGGACGTCCCAGATCCAGTCGGACATGGTCCACAAGCCCGAGCGCCAGAGCTCCCGGAAGCGGCTCTCACCCCAGCTGAGCTTCACGATGCGGAGCCCCTTGCTCCCAAACACGGCGATCATGGCCTCCGAGTCAGTGTCTCCTTTGGGCTCGGGCCGCACCCGGAAGCCGTGGATCAGATAGTGGCCCAGCAGGTTCTGCACTCGCTTCATCATCCGCAGGTGCCCGCCGAAGTCCAGGCTGTACACCAGCACATCAGGCCCCTCGCCTAGACAGAGGCGGAGAGCCACGTCAGAAGCACTCACCTGACGGATGGCTCCGGGAGAGGAGAGGGAGTGGGGGGGAACATCGCAGCATGCACCCCAAGAATACACCCATCTTGGTAAATCACGAAGCTTAGCTTCAGCTGGACTTTTTTTTCTTGGTCCGGTCCTGAGGCCTGAACTCTGGGCCTGGGCGCTGTCCGTCAGCAATTCAGCTCAAGGCGAGCGCTCTACCACTTGAACCACAGCGCCACTTCCGGCTTTTTTCTTTTTTGCTTATGTGGTGCTGAGGAATCGAACCCAGGGCCTCATGCATGCAAGGCAAGCGCTCTACCACTGAGCCACCTTCCCAGCCCTTCAGCTGGGCTTTTAGGGCAATGGTCACTCCCCTCATTAATCACGGTTGGACAGCTTTGTGTCTTATTGACACAGTTCTGCTATCCCAGGCTAGCCTTGAACTCTCCCAGCTTTCTACCTCTACCTCTCAAGAGTTCAGATCTCATCCATCACTCTTTGGGGCATTTCTTTTGGTGATAATGGGGCTTGAACTTAGGATCCTGTGCTTGCTAGGCAGGTACTCTTATCATTTGAAACAAATCTCAAGGTGTTTTGGGCTTTCTTTCTTTCTTTTTCTTTTGGTAGGTCATGGGTCTTGAACTCAGGACCTGGGCACTGTCCCTGAGCTTTTCTGCTCAAGGCTAGCACTCTACCACTTTTTTTTTTTAATTGTGAAAATAATATACAGAGGGGTTACAATTACATGGGCAAGATAGTGAGTACATTTCTTATCAAGCACTGTTGCCTCCTCCTTTGTTTCCCCTTCCCATCTCCGCCCCCCCCCCAACTCTACCACTTTTGAGCCACAGCTCTACTTCCAGATTTCTGGTGGTTAATTGGAAATAAGCTTTCCTAATTGGGCTGGCTTCAAACATCCATCCTCAGATCTCAGCCTCCTGAGTATTTAGGATTACAGGTGTGAGCCACTAACACCTAGCTTAGGTTATTTTTCAGATAGGATCTTTCTTGATTTTTTTTGGGGGGGGGGTTTGGGGACAGCCTGAGATTAAAATCCTCCTTTGCCTCATTTATAGCTGTCTGATCTGTTTGCTGAGATGAAAATCTGCCTAATTTTTGTTTTTGTTTTTTGTCCTGACTAATTCAAACTAAATTCTCTATTTTCCCCTAACAAGTAGCTGGAATTACTGGTGTAAGTCATAAGGCCCAGACTCAAAATTGGTCTCGTTTTTTTAATCACACAAATGAACTGCATCATTATAATTTTGGTAACTTCCAGGAAATAACTGGTTGTTGTAGTTGTTTTGGGGGGGGGGGTGTAGGGGTTACTAGGGCTTGAATTCATGGCCTCATACTCTCTTTTTTTTTTTTTTTTGGTCGGTCGTGGAGCTTGAACTCGGCTTTGACGCTGTCTCTCAGCTCTTCAGCCCAAGGTGAGTGCTCTACCGCTTGAGCCACAGCGCCACTTCCTGGCCTCATACTCTCACTCAGCTTTTATCATGGCTCTAGCACTTGATTCACACCTCCACTCCCTGAATTTTGCTGGTTAATCAGATATACAGAATCTTGCAAATGTATCTGTCTGGGCTGGCTCAGATCTCAGCCTGCTGAGTAACAAGGAGTACAGGCTTAAACCACCAGCATCTGGATACAAATAAATAATAAGTAAAATGAGCTAGATATGCTGGTGAATCTCTATAATTTTAACTACTCAGGAGGCCAAGATAGGAAAATCAAGAGTTGGAGGCTACCCAGGACTACATGGTAAAACTATCTCAAAAATAAATAAATAAAAATCACAATTTATTCCCAGGATTCATTAGGCCTAGGTTTCAAGTCCCCCCTCCTCCGCACCCCTTCCCCCACAGACACAAGCAATAAGCCAGAGAAAGGGCTTGGAACGCAGGAGAAAACAGGGCTGGGAGTTCAGATAAAGGGCGCACACGGATGGGATTTAGGAACTGTAGCTATGGGTTGCAGTTTTAGTTCAGTAGCACAGCGTGTGCTACATGAAGCCCTAGGAGTTGGCTAGATCCCCAGCGCAGAGGAACAGGGGAGGAAAAGTTGAAAGAAAACATCTGTACTTCTACAAGGAGGGATAAATTCACTTGGAGTGTTCTCTTGCCTGGACTTCACGAGGTTAGACCCTTATATGGTGCCAGATTGCTGAAAATGGAGCCAAGACAAAACACAAATAGGAAAGAAGCCAAAATCTGGGGGAATGCGGAGTCCTGTTTGACTCAATGAGCCGGAGTCAGCCATTCTTTTGCATTGCTTGGGAGTGAAGAGACCACCTCAGCTTTACTGCAAGTGCTGGAAATGAAATCCAGAACTTCGCACGTTAGGCAAGCACTCTACCACAGAGCTATGCTTCCAGTACTACTCCTGATTTTTAAAATGAAAGAAGCAACCGTTTGGAGGGAGAGGGGAGGAGGAGTTTCTCCTTAAAAAAAGGAGAGAGAGAGAAATGGCAAAAAAGCCAAGCAAGAGCATGAGGAACTGAGTTCAAGCCCCAGTATTTTTTTGCACACATGCGAAACACACACACACACACACAAAAGCCTAGCTGGGTGCCAGTGGCTCACACCTGTTACACTACTCAAGAGGCTGAGATATGGAAGATGGCTGCTCAAGGACACCCAGGGAGAAAAATTCACTACACTCTTGCCTATAAAATAACCAGCAAAAAGATGGGCTTGGAGGGATGGCTCAAATGGTAGGGGTACCTGTTGAACAAGCAGAGGCCTGGAGCCAAATTACTATACGAGGGGGAATAGGGGGATCCTGGGAAATGGAGCTCCATGGTAGAGACCAGGTTTGCCTAGCACAAGAGGCCTTGAGTTTGAACTCCAGCAACATAAAAGAAAAGAAAAGAAAAGCAGAGCGCTAGTGGCTCACGCCTGTCATCCTAGCTATTCAGGAGGCGGAGATCTGAGGATCACAGTTCAAAGCCAACCAGGGAAGGAAAGTCCGTGTGACTCTTATCTCCAACAAACCACTCAGAAAACCGGAAGTGGCGCTGTGGCTCAAGTGGTAGAGTGCTCGCCTTGAGCTGAAGAGCTGAGGGACAGTGACCAGGCCCAGAGTTCAAGCCCCACGACTGACAAATAAATAAATAAAATAATAAAATGCGGAATGGGTGTTTCTTGATGATGTTAGGGATGAAGGCAGATCAAGAGTTAAAACAATCTAGCATCTCCACAGGATTTCCCTCTTTTTCTCCAAAATAATTCAAGGCCTTGGGACCCTTACCAGCTTCACAGCAGCAGCCTGGGTTACTAGTGGCTTCGACTCAGGCCTTACTGCTTGCTTCCCAGCTCTGACAGCTGCGGGTTGGTCTTTTGCAGCCAGATATACTGGCCCCCCCTCGCCCCCCCCCCGTGCTTAGAAGGGGGAGGGGCTTAACCCTCCCGTTTGGGGGAGGGGCACTGTCCTACTCAGAGAAGTCTAATGCACAATTTGGGGTGACACTCCCCCTACCTCTCCCCCAGGGACCTTAACAGCCCCCACCGCCCGTGCTCACCCCCTCCTTTTCTGTTTTCAGGTTAGTCTGGAACTAATAAGCTCCTCCTGGGCACGGGTTACAGGTGTAGGCCACACGCCCCGGCCACACCCGCTCGGGTCACCCCGTCCTGTCCCCCCACCCCGCCCTCCCAAGCTTCCTCGCGTGGTGGGGGTGGAGTGGGGGCACACCCCCCCCTCTTCCACGGAACGCTGCCGCGGCGGCCCTTTGTCTCTCGAGCCCCGTCTCCCTCGGGTCCGCCCCCCGTTCCCGCCATTTCCCAGGCCCCTGCGCGCGCTCCCCGCACACCCCCGTCCCCGCACACCCCCG